ATGCCGCCCCACAATTCCTTTCAGCCGCAACATTTAAAGCGAGTCACGCATCCGACCGTTCACGGAAATGAACGATGATCGTAAAGTGACACAGATCATGTAAGGATAAAAGACAAGAGACATTTTTAGCCAGATGATGTTTTATTCAACGTATTTCATTCACTTAAGGATGCTATGTGCAGTTGTACATTTGTATGCTAAAACATTATGTATATCTTACATAAATTTAACAATTAATTTCATACAATCACTTATTTTGATGTTGATTTATGAGTGGACAGGAATGTGATGGTTTCACTTTTGTTACTTGTAGCCTGGTAGTCTATATTGGTTTTATTTCAATCCCAACCTTGTGGTGATTAGGACTATTTCACCATAAGAAGGCACAGGGGAAAGTTTTTTAGATGCGCTTTTAGTGGTCCATTTTGAGAACATTGTAGTTTCACCACGGTGGACCCGTGTCATTAACCTCCGCCGGCCCGTCGCATTTGATTACGTCGCCTAGTGGAAATGTGGTCGGATTGTCAGAGCAACGAGATCGCTTTTCCCTAAGTCCTTTATGAATTCTCCTAACATCTTTCCTTAACCTCATGACGTTTTCCCCCGGGGTTAAGGTAAAGTGGATAGTGAAAGGATATAGGAGGGACTATTCTGATGCATCCTCACCCTAGCCATCAACAACTTCCTTGCTAACATCACTGTTAGCTAAGAATGTATGCCTTTTCTAACTTATACCACCATGCTATTAAAAGCTATCGTTAGCATTCAGTCTTCACCTTAGTGATATTACTGAGAGCTAAGAAGGACCTCAACTACCAACAATAACCTATATTTATAAGATAGGAAAGGCATTAACAGTACAAAGCAAATCAGCATATTTGATAAGCTAGCATCAGAAAAGAGCTAATTTTATCTATCAGCAACTTCTTTGTTTTCAAGGAATGTTTTGTTTTTGTTTTTGTATGAATCTAGCCTTTTGTGTCATGTCATATGACACTTTCAAAAGGTAATGTTATTATTCATCAGTGTCGTAGCCTTGGGATATGTTAGCATGTATGTGGCTTGATCTTCACTTAAGCTTTTATGTGATGATAGTCTATGGACAAATGTGTTGTTTGAACTTGAACTATGGGGCCCGATATCCTCTCCATTGGTTTTTTGATGGATAATCAATCAGAAATTGGTAAGATGATATCAAATGTAATATTTCCTCGCTTCAAACAACCATCAACCTTAAGACACATCAGTACAACATTATAACAACAGTTGAACCTAAGTGTTGTTTGAGGAAAGTAGCCGCTATGTTGATATGGTTGATTGAGTCGATTTTCTGTAGTCTTACACAAGTTCACAATCCCTGTCTCATTTTTGTCCCAGCATGCTCTCCACTTGTTCCAGCTCTGTAACTTTTCATCAAACCTGTCCATCACTCAGAGGTGCGTATTGTCGTCAGCCATGAGGGACACCTGTGTTTCTGCCATAAGGCAGCGGTTATCATCAAGCTGTCGGATATCTGTCACTACGGCTGGATCCAATGTTGAAACCTTTGCTGTCAAAACCTGTCAAATTTCACTGAGTCTTTAATGAGAATAAGCCAAGTTGAAACCACAGGCACAGGCTTGTGTGTGTGTGTGTGTGTGTGTGTGTGTGTGTGTGTGTGTGTGTGTGTGTGTGTGTGTGTTAGTGAGTAAGTGCGAGATAGAGCAGGCTGAGGGAACAGGTGCATGGCTGGAAGCTGTGGTGGTGCTGGTATGAGCAGTAGGGGCTCAGTGCAGTACGTCATCTCTGATAGCTGACGGTTCCAGACCCACTAATCAAACACAGATCAACTGCCAGCCACTAAAAACCTCATGATTGACAATAAGTAAAGAGCAGTGGGCTGGAAATTGATCTTGCTCCATTTCACAAACATCCTAATAAATCCGCATATGTTTATAATTATTTTCTGTAGCCTCGGGTATTTAAAAAATTAGTATGTATGTTGTACAGAAAGAGAAAGTTTCTTGCTGAACCACTTTTAATCAAATTTGAAAACACTTTGTAATTCCCCCCTCAGTTCTCTTTACACCTGGAAATATTGTAATCAACTCAAGCGTGTTTGTATTTGACTTTGCACTCATCTCAAACCAAATCCCCGAGGTCCTCTCTGTTCTCAGCTATGTCATCATGACAGAAAACAGAGTTTGTTACCCCACGGCTATCGACAACCGTTATCCTCACCATGCAGGCCTGCCAAAATAACAGGCCTGTCAGAGGCCAGGTGAGGAGGCTCAGGTGAATGACCCCAGGCAAACCTCTCCCAGATAAAGTGGAGAGAAAAGGTGGGAGAGTGGGAAAGAGATGGGAGGCATGGAGCAGGAAACACAGGGTGGGGGTGGGGGTGTAGAAGAAGGAGTGGAATGAGGTAGATGACTTTTATTAAGGTGAATATGATGAAGGTAAAGGGAGGGTATGTTCTGTATGAGATCACTTATGGAGACTGATAGAAAGACTTTTTTTTTTTTATATCAGTAAGAGTGACCACTACTGGCATACCAAGATACTGCAGAGCATGATTATAATCTATATCTCAATGTGATCACAATAAAAGGCTTGCAGCATGGAAAATATGAATTTTAATGTTCTTCATTTATTTGACGTGTAGACTTTCTTGATTCATTTTGGATACAATCTGGACATGCTTACAAACTGATCTGTGCTGACAGTCTGAACAAGGCCTCAGAAGTTGGGCAGAGCTAGAAAAGCTGTTTTCATATAATACGCCATCCCATCGGTTTTAACATTTAACATAATTTAGCAGTACAACCAGCCAGCCTCACAACTGTAAAGCTCATGGAACAATGCAAGCCCAATACCTCCACATGACCCTCTTCACCTGCAAGTATAACCTTATCATTCAGCTCTCAGCAAAAGAGATCTTTTTTTTTCTAAAATATAAAACCTTGCTCTTATATTTTGATAAAGTCCATGGAAACTTTTCTGAGTCACATTCTCAGAAATTACTGTAGAGCAACATGAACAAATAGTTTTGTTGATGCTGTTGACATCGTTTGTTGTTGACTTGTCAGTCTGCAGTCTTGTCTCCCTGAACCACAGGAAGCTAATGAGAGCTAATAAGTGTCATAGGTTTAAGGAACAATGAGCAGTACAACTGCATGCTGGGATATGTGGATCAGAGGCGGGACCCTGTCATCTTATGTCAGTCAGTGGCTGATGTACAATGGCCCTTGGTCACAATTAGAGACGTGTGTGCTCTGTGTGTAAGCATGAGTGAGTGCAACTGCCTATTATTAACCCTTAACCCCCCACAGAGAGCTGGCAGGGAACTCTTAGCTTTTAATGTCAACGTGTGTTTACTGCATTCTTTGATCGGCAGGGGCTAATGCTGCCCGTCAGCGGGACATGTCAGTACTGAGGAAAGACCCCCTGTTGTAGGCTGAATGCTCAATGAAACAGAATCAAAATGTGCTTCTAGCCTTTATTGCAGAATGCTGCAATGAAAATGATTTCCTGTTGTGAGCAAACTAGATCAGATGATCTGGTTGACCCTAGCTGCTCTGACATTTTTGCAAGTGGCCTTCAGAATTGTGCAGAAGTGGACTCGACAGGAAAGGAACGTTTCACTTTTTGATGTATCCAAAGTCAGACGATGTGTTACTTACATACAAACAGGCTGTGATGTTTTTATAGTACTCTAGTTCCCTCTTCTGGCAACAATATTTACCATTACCTGCAAGAAAGTTATTATATTACTTTCAACACAAGTACATAATAAGCTATGACTACATCAAAGTGCTCATGAGAATTTTCCCTTCAAAATTCCCTTGAATACAAAGATGCGTCTGAATGCTATTTCCAGTCATAGCAAAAGGTCATCTTGGTAATTATCCAGCCATATGAACATATTATGTTACATAAGATGGAGCAAAGTAATTTTTATAATTTTAAAGTTTAAAAAAATGCAAATCATTGAAAATATTAGCCTGAAAAGCAGATGATACTCCTGTGAGTTTACCACTAGTAGCATTGCTGATAGTGCAGTCATTCATCAGTAGGATACAGGAAACAGTCCTGATTTAGGCTCTTTCAAAAAAGGTTTATTTCCTGTGCAGAGTACTGGATGGTTTCGTGGTGGTAACATGGACATGACACGTTGCTCCCAACTTTAAGGTTTGAGACACTTCATAGACTGAATAAAAGCAGTGAATGTAGCTCATTGGTTTTCAAAATCAAAGCTGAAGGGGAAGTGATTTAAACTTGCATTCTTTCCAACAGCCAGCAGGGGGAGACTGCACAAAAAAAAAAAAAGTATGAGACCAAATGAGAAAACAACATTACCTAAGAGTGTAAGACTTCTGGTTGTTTGGTAGAGTCAAGTCTCCTTTTGTAGAGAATGATGTTCATTTTGCTCCTATTTAGGTAAGAAATGATGATAAAGAGGTGTATGCATTATGGGTGTACTCCATTATGTCAAGTTGCCACCACAGTGACCTGTCAACTAGGATAGAGTTGTAGCAATTGTATGTACCCAATGTTATAATTTGGACACGTCTGGTTCCAACAGGAGTTCAAGGCAGTGCCTCATACAAGGGGCCCCTAAGAGAGGAATTTAAGAGGTTGTGATTAAAATACTTAAGTAGAAATACTTCTGTTATTCGGCTCTTTTTCTTGTCCAACACTTTTTTCTCTTTGGTTTAAGTACAATAATACATCTTAAATGGCAATACCTGTCTTGTTTAAACTGCTTAATGTTTAGATATACTGTATGCACTGTACATAACAGTATGTTGTTACTTTATAATAATATCCTGCGAGTAACAGGTGTGGCAGCCACAGGAATAGAGTATAACAACAAAGCTAAAACCATGCATAGCCACTTACTTTCCTCAGTTTTTTCTGCTGTTTTAAGATACCCTATCTATGAATAGTCGTGCTACTAGAGATAACCATGTCTGACTTGGACAGGATTTTAATACTGGAGAACTACATTTGTGCTGCAGTGTAAGGGCAAAGATGTTAAGTTTGTTGGTGAGTGTGTCAGTGCAGAGCAGCTGAGGAGAGGATGCTGGTGTGGAGCAGCAGCAGGAGGACTTGGCAGCGAGGTGTTGGACGGTAAAGCCAGCTCAGACCAGGCTGATCGGCCTGCAGCCAGCACACATGTGATAGCAGAACCTTGTGTTCTAAACAGAGCAGGTGCAAAGGCCTTGTCTGCCTTTCTTTCATCTATCCCCTCTCACAGCCGTGAAGCTTGGCTCTCCCTCCCCTGTTTCTCCCAGGTTCAGCTTCTTGTCTTCCAGGCGATGCACTCGGCAGTGTCTCCCTGTCCATCTCTCCATTTCCATCCCTGCACCTCCTGGCTCCCTCTCTCCGAGGATCGTACTTCATTTGCTCATGAAAACACATCAGCTTTCCACAAACGCCCATCCACAAACTCTGTCACCCTGATGCCCACAGATGGCAACTTCCTGTGGTCCTGCTCAGTGATTGGTGGAGAGACTTCCAAACAGAGAACAGCTGGTGAGGGATGATATATCACCAAGCGTTTGCACTTTCATTTTCAGGGTTGTCTTGTTAAAGCTCCCAATCCAGCATCTGGCAGGAAGTAGACACAAAGGCAGAGAGGGAGAGAGAGAGAACAACCTGTTCTTTGGCAGACCTTAACAAAAGGCTGACACATGTCTGATGAACACACAGGCCTGCCACAGAACAGACAGAACTGTTGTGAGGGAAAGATGCTTGACGCAAGAGAAACAAAGGCTAGATAAGAGGATGTGAACATTTTATGTTAAGCGTCTTTGTTTGGAGGATGAAATGATAAATATGTCTCCCAAGGTTCAAGAAAAATCGCATCAGTTATTTGTATGACTCAGCGTATTGATTTGCCTATTTAAGAAGACACAAGTAATTCACGAGATTTACCAAATTACATAGAATTACAAACTTAATTTAATTATTATAAGATGGTGTATGCTACCCAAAAAGATTTTTTTTAAAAAGGACGCTTTCACCATTCACAGTAAAAATGTTCTTTTTGTAATCTTGGAAGTAAGGGGTAAATAAAGATATGTTCACTTTTGTGTTGATCTTGGATAAAGCTTCACAGTTGTTTTTCATCTTATCTTAAAGTGACTAATGCAGATTTCTAACACCTTATTTATCTGATCTTTATCATTTGTGCACATCTTCCATAAACTGTGTGCAGGTCTTCTCGTCAATGGAAAGGACAAGTTACCACTTTGAACACCAGAGGGCGCCATTTCACACCAAAACTTTCTACATCTTCACGGTATGTTTAAATGCAAATATGTTAAAAGTTTTATAGGTTGGAGTGACCAAATGAAAGGAGCGAGATCACAAAAAACAACAACCTTTAATACCTGGTGTCACAGTGTTAGTGGAACTGTAGGTGTACTGAGATGCTGATTTCTAAGTTGTACAGAATTGATCCAAATATGCCATTTTACAATGCAGATATCTTTAAATCACCCGGGTCAAATGAACCCCTCAGTAACTGCCTACATGGTGACACTGTTGACCGTCGTAACAGACAGAAGTCTTGTGTACAGACAGCGTTTCCTCTGACTAAAACCCACTTTACTGAGGTGGAACTGATTTGACCGTCAGGCCTGAAAAGTTCCATTTAAAACAGATAATGCAAATACAACAAAACTAGATGTTACAATGTATGAAAAAAACAAAAAAGTCACACACATGAAGCCAACCTGTTGAAAAAAAAGAGGAAGGCTGACAAATGGTTTATATCATATGGCTGAACATGACGACATAGTTTGTTAAAGAAACAGTGTGGGAGGGGGAATAATCAAACTCCAAAATAAAAACCTGACAGTTGGGTGATAGAGTGACAACGCTACCATTCCAAAGATCTTTTAGAGGCTACAATATTGTAATATTTAACATGTAGAAGTCAGAGAAAATTCATGCAGCTTCATCTCTTGACACAACAGATTATAAAATATAGATTGCTGCCTATAACCAATCCTGATCTTAAGATAGCTGCGAAGTAGATCTTCAGCCTTTTGTAATATCAGTGTTACCTTGCTTCATGTCAAAGCGCCAAATCAAAAGCGGTTCAAATTGTCCTCCGATCCCTGTGCTCGTCCAGGCTGCATCATGGAGCCCTGAAAAGCCCCGTCTGGCCCTTTTGTAAAAAAAATCATATGTGCAACACAGCACTGCAGTGATTGTAATGTCTGCTGTTTGGCCCTTTTATGTTTGTTGCATATTACAGAATCGACCTGTTCAGTGGTGCGAGCATACACAAAGAAGAATGTGTTAAAAAAAAAAAGTTGATTTGCCATGATGCTGTTCTGCAGTTACTTTGTGCCCCTTAAAGACCTCAAATGATATTTTATGTTTCAATGAATATTTTGCACTATTTTCAAATCATTCTTTGATATCAGAGCCCTGACTCAGTTGCACTCTTTCATATGTATCTAACTGTTCTGATGAGTTGATGTTGATTTCAGCTGGTAAACTCCCCAGTTTATCACACGCACGCACGCACACACACACGCACACACACACACACACACACACATCACAGATCATATAAAGAAAGAAAAGAAAAACAATGAAACCCCATACGTAGTGCAGCTTTTACATAAGAAGCGATAAAATAGTTTCCACCCTGTAAAAACTCTTAATATGTTACAAATACATGGTCAAAATGCACATACAGTAGAATGCTCCGTTTCCTTTGTCCCTTCCAGGAAAGCTGCTTGGCACGATTGTCTTAAAAACAACAAAAGCTTGTGGAATTGAAACGTTTTAGAGGGGAAAGCACCAAACTTCCAAAGGTAGAAATTGGACTGTTTTTGATATTAATGAATCATGCTCATACAGTAGATGAGGCCAGTGAAAGCAACACAGGCTACAGGTTGAATTGATTCTGAAGTTTAGGCTACTAATAGTCTTATAAAAGTGAGTATCAGGGCTGAATTTACTAGGAGAGGGGCGAGCTGAGGGGTTGATCAACTGCTCTTTAGCTTTGATTAGCTACTGTTGCTAACTGATGCCCACCTGTTTTTTTTTTTTTTGGTTACTGTAGCCAAAACATCATGAAATGCTACATAAACACTGGTAACTCACACCAGGAGGGGAGGGGAAGTAAGTAGGAACAAATGGCTTTTTCAAAAAGGTAGAATGGCTATGCATTTTCTTTTTTTTTATTTAAGCATTTAACATAACGTAGGACTGAACACTTTCACCTTCTTGTCTGACTGTACCAACATAGACTGTGAAGTTAAACCCGATAAAAAGAAACACTTCCAAATAAAAAATTGCCAAATTCCGTCCCAGTTTTCTTGAGCACAAATTTAAAATGAAGCTAAAAGTTTTGTAGTTAACAGCAAGACAGATGCTGAACTAAAACAGCCAGTGAATGATTCCCTGAATGAACGCCATGATAAGCACATGTATGAAGACATTCTGCCATTCTCACTGTATGAACCTTCCCATCACACCGTCCACTCTGACCAATCCACAGCCTCTTAACAATGGTTATAATGTACAAACTTGCATAGATAAAGTGATTTAGTATAGAGCAGCTTCATCAATACGCGCCCAAAAATGGAAAATTCTTTTACATTTGACTTTTTTTTTTTTTTCTAGCATCCCTGCGAGGACATAGCTGCTTGTTGTTGGAAGTGTAACTACCAACAGAACAAAACATCAACACTCAGACCACTAACATATGCAAGTTTGCAATTTGGGCCAGAAGTATTTGTTACGCCAAGAAGAGATAAGGTATAGTCTTTGAACTGCTGGGTGGATTTAGCTTTTCTGTTGAAACAGGTCGTTGGAATCGAGGCCCTAAATCACACCAAACATCATCTTAGAACAGAAGTTTTTTACAGTATGGCTATTAACAGTGTGGCATATGGACGACATCATAGAATCATCTGAATATAAAGGGCTTCACTGACTGTCTGCAATGCTTTAAATGCAGTTGCTTTCCCTGGGATTATTTGGATTTCCTTCTTTTTTTTAAATTTAATGCACAGGGGGGGAAATGCCAGATTTTGGCTGTTATCAATTTAAGGCTATTTATTTCTATTTGGCTGAACCACCACCAGGGGGGACTGAGAGTAAAGGGAGTGACATCTCTTTTTATGAAGTATTAAAATGTTTCCACATACTGTGGATATAAAGTCCTCTGATAGACTCTCACATTGATGCTGAATTTAAAGGGGAACGCCACTCAAATGAGGACAATTTATTATCTTAAAAAACAATGTACAAACAAAAAGTCCTTCTCTTTAAAAGATGCTTACAATGCGTGTAAAAGATATGAATTTGATGGCAAAAGTATTTTAAAATTAAAAAAACATTTGGTTATAAAACTCAAGCTGTATGTGTTTTTTTTTGTGTTTTTTTTTTGTTTGCCATGAGTGGCAATCCCCTTTAACAAGTGTACCTTACAGTTTGGAAAACATTGAAAAGTACAACACATAGACACTACTCTGAGCACGGTTCTATTAAAAGCAACAGGTTATAAAACATTGACATCATCAAGAGGACGTGCTGTACAGTGAGCTGAGAGTGACGACAGCCTCTCATCTCGACCTCAGTCGTGAGCATGGCGCAGGAATCACGCTCTGTGTGCAAATCGAGTGAACACCAAACATGCGTGGTGTGACTCTAATGCTACGGACTGAAGCTGTAGAGCTACATTGAGCGTGGTGAAGGGGAAAAAAGCTTTTGTTGCGTACGACAAACTGACAAAATAGAGCAATAAAGTAAAAGGTTCTTGCATGATATTGTCCATACAAGAAAAAGCATGTCTGAACTTTGATTTTTTTCTTTGCCTTAAATGAGTTTGTCAAAATACCCCACACAACAGTAACCCCCATCAAGGTCCACTCGAAGTTGCCCCGACTATCTCCACGTCCCCAAACCACCAACGTCACACACAAGGACACGGTAGTCCTTTGTAAAGATCGACCTTCCTTGACCTTGGACCTCTTCTTCAGGCCCAGTTGAGTGGTCACTTGACCTCCACGCCTCTCTCATGCAGAGCGATGGATCCAGAAGCGGCCCCGGGCTGCTGCAGGCTCAGCCCGAAAAAAATGAAGCGCTCAAAGCTGGTAGGAGGAAAAGAACGTAAAGGGGTGATAAGGGGAAAAAAAAGATGACCCATCCTTGAAGCGGATCTCCGCTCCGGCTTTGACAGCGTGTTTTAGGTTGGCAACGGGTCGTCGTCGCCTTTGCTGCACTTGCACTTGCAGCAGAGGACGATGGGAGTGGCCAGGAGGAGGAAGGGGGAGGCAACCAGCAGGAGCAGGCCGAAGCCAGCAAAGATCCCGACAACCTGCAGAGAGGGCAAAGATAAAACATTCATTTAAATACAATTGAAACAGTAGGAGGGAGACAGAGGGGATGCTATTACATTACTTTAGCAAAGCAATTAACAGCTATCGACAAAAAAAATAGATACATCACACATCTTAGACTATAGTAAGAAGCTTAATGACTCGTTTGATGCACTATTTAAATATAATTGTACTGTGGAACTTGTACTGAACCATTGTTGTAGAGACTAATGCCCTGAATCTTACCCAGCAACTGCAACACCACAGATTGACCAGCAGATGGCATACAAAGCCTCAAAACAAAAAACATTAAAAAGCTTTGCTTGCCCAGAAACCTTGCAATAAAATGGGTGGTTTTGTCCGTGTGACTACGTCTCCTGATAGCACCAATTTATTTCATTCATGCTGAATGGACAGTTGCCTTGTTGTCATAACGATAGAAAACACATGGGGCCTGATTCACTCATGTCATCGAGTGCAACTTAGTTAAGCAACAATGTTAACGCAGCTGAGCTGCACTGACACACACAGACAGGAATGTATTCTGTCTTTTATTGTTTAGTGCTAAGGCTCTGAAAAAAAATCAACTCACTGGAGTATTTACGTTAGTCACAGCTATGTTTGTGATCTATGTCAAATGTGTACCGATGTATTGTTTGCTTTCTGTTGGTGCAGAGCTGAAGTTAGTGTGTTGTTAGGAATCACTCAAATCTTGTGACATTATCCTTTAAAAGTCAAAAGAATGACACACAGACTGCCCTGTTGAGAGCTTTACGGTCTCTGTTCCAACAGGACCAGCAGGAAAGCTGTTTGTGTGTGTTTGTAATGTGGTTAGTGAACATAACACCAACAGATTATAAAATGGCCTAAACAACTATTACATCTCTTTTTTTATCCTGCATACAAATAGTCTGATAATGCTAACATTATCATTGTAAATCATGATAAATTATTTCTTTTACATTTCCCTTTCCTGTTATGAGCATGGTCAGTAAATTCGCCACAAGGGGGAGCCAGAAACCAGCGGGTCAAGAGCCACAAAATGGCATACATAACAGGCAGTCACATGCAACAGTGACTTATAATAGCCCATAGCTTTCCTCCTGTTTGAGGGCAAACCAACATATTTACAGGACTGCCTGCAAACAGATTACCCAAAAGGGCACATTTAATCTTTGTCACTCTTACTATATTCTAGTTGAAATCATAGTATTTGGGAACACTTTGCTTAGATAAACAGACCCTGATGATGCTAACATGATTAGGTCATTCCCTCTCTCTGAACTGACAGTATGAATCTCATGGAAACACAGACGTCCTCAGTTACAGTCAGGGAGGTATGATGTGTTGTTGTGTTGTTTTTTTTTCCGGGGTACGTCTCGTATTTATGAAGGAATGAGAGCGAGTGCGTTTTTTAGATGCTGAGAAACGAGGTGAGGGTGACATGAGGAGAGCAGGGAGAGACAAAGACACACAGAGTGCTGAAGCTATAGCTGCCTGAACTGTAATCATATGACTCAGCCTGCCCCACTGGGCAACAGATGCCATGGTGTATGCTAATGCTGACTAAATAATGAGTATGTTGAACAGCGACAAATAATAGATTATATGAGAGATATAGCGGAGCAGTTTGGTAATTTAACAACAAATTTATCTTTCATAAGCTTAAAAGGCTTCATTACATGTGGAAAGTCATGCGTAATCCAGCATTTCACATAAGGGAAATGACATGTCATATCCAATCCTTTATATGTAATCTGTCATTTAATTTGGTTACCTATCATTGTCGAGAGCCTGGTTATGTAAACCTTTTGTTAGTTTAAGGACATAATAAGCTTGCAGGAAACCTCGTGACACTGGCCACGAGACACTTGTTCGATGCACATCAAGCTGTCCTTTTCCTATTGTGCACTGAAGATAATACTAACCCATCACTGCCTGTGACTGAATGAGCCATAGAGAGAGGAAGAGGCTGGACACGTGTACAGCCACATGCTGCAGTGTGTGTGTGTGTGTGTGTGTGTGTGTGGGGAGGGGGGGGTCCTGGATGAGTGTGGAAGGCGAGGGGGTGGGGGGGGGGCGATGGGTTGCTCACCTGTGTTCTGTGCCAGATAACAGATGCCCTGGAGTGGCCCAGTTTGTTTCGACAGGGCCCTTTGTCGTAGTGGATCAGGAGAAAGTCGTCCTGTCAGACAAACACACAGACGCAGAGCAGATAACGATGGACCATTAGCAGTGTTAAAGAAGCCATGAGCTCGTCTGAGGAAATTGTTTTTTTTTTTAATGACCTGCGAGGAGCAATCGACTGTGCTCACACAATTAAGATTATGAATGGCATCATGGCTCATACTAAACCAAAAACAAATACATCTTATTCTTTTCTTATCAAGTCAAAGTGAAGCTTCAGTTTCCTGATAGTGACAGCTACTGCTGTCGCAAGGAGACGAATGATGTCTACATCAAGGCTTATCACAGTGTGCAAACACAACAGTAAAGATATTGAAATACTATTTTTTCCTTGATGAAAATAAGATACCAAGTTCCCATCAAATAATACAGCCAAAACCTAAAACAAAAATGACTACCAACCTTTTATTTAAACAACACCATTGCTATCCTTATTGTACGTCCTGGTAGAGAAGACAACCTTTTAGATAAATAAACAAATACATCCAGACGTCCTTTTATTATCTACTTGACATTCATTCATAAAATAAAGGACACATCCTTAAATGGCTCCTGCTAAAAACTGTCCTAAATGAATACTGAAGGGAGCAGAGTCAGAAGAAGGTAACAAGATGGCCAGAGAATTCCAGAGGATTTGTGCTACCGCCTCAAACGCACAATCACCACGAGTCTTAACATGTGTCTGCGGGACAGACCGCAGGTGTGAGGTGTTTAACTTTAGCGAACAGGTTGGTGAATAAAGGGGAAGAAGTGCTGACAAACACTGACTTATTTTGTAGAGCTTGGCTAATGTTACGTACAGTATCAACGCAACCCTAAACTGCTGTTGGTAATTGTCATGTGATAAATAACTATATAGGTGTTGTTTTTTCAGCTAGAAACAGAAGTTTCAGGTGGTAGCGGTCACGCAGCTCTGTCGGCATGTACAGTACATGAATCCGTTGTAGTGTCAGCTACATGCAAACCCTGTGTGGGTCAACGTTTAGATTAGACAAGAAGAATTTATTGCTAGTGAACAAATTGTTTTCATCATCATCATCATCCTTTATATAAGCCTCGGATATCATTGAGGTTTCCTTCATTTATAATGCTGTCGAGATACAAAAACACACAATTATAACAACTTATATTTATATCGAACACACCGAGGTGAAATGAGAGTGTCGATCTTTTGTCAAACATTCCACATTTGAATCAAACCATTTCAAAACTGGTATCAGAACAACTCCTCACAACATTACAATACAAAACTCAAGCAACTTTAAGATATTGCAAACATGCATTGTCTTGGTCTTTACTGATGTGAACATCAAGGAAGAAAGTCATTATTTGGATCAAACTCACATCCAGAGACTCCAGACAGTACCAGCAGAAGGCATGTTTGCAGTTCTTGCACATCATCTGTGCACAGCCCTCGTCCCTCTCGATGTAAACTTTACATTTGGGACAGCGCTTGATCGGTGCGTCGTCCTCTTCGTTTTTATAGAAAGAGCTGCAGAGAAGAGAGAGTGACACAGCTGTAAGTGTTTTATATTCCTAACAGGACAGAAAATCCAAAATCACTCAGCAGTCACTTTACAAGTGGTGCTGTGGATGAGATGGCTTTAACGCAGCGATCAATATTTACAATCTTTGGTGTAACAGGATTGTTTGAAACGGTGGATAGCTGTAGCTCAGGAGCTGACAGGTCTTCTAAAAACCACCAGTCACTAAATTACATTGAACTCCCTCCAACACTTTTATTCTTCCCTTCTGTTGCTGTCAAGAGTGTCTGCATCTCCTTTCTCCTGTTTCAGAAAAGCGCTGACTCGTGAACTCTGGAGCAGGTAGCTGTCATTCATTCACGTCGTAGAACGGCAAACTAGCCCGTTAGCTTCTAACAAGGGAGGTGATCAGAGCTGTAATGAAACACTTGGGGTCTAACGTTTTTGAAGAAATCCTCCCAGAGAACAGGTGTAGTTCACACAGAGAGACCATCTAAGAGCAGACCTGCTAATCCTCTCTCCCTCTTTCCACTGTGGCCCCTTGAGCTCGCTCCGGGACCTGTGCAGATAGAGGAAAGCTCTGCAGAGCTAATGACGTTTGAGTAAGAGGATATCGCAAAGAAACAGGTCAACTGCACATGTCTCAGAGAAGCCTTCCTTTTAACCTCACAGACAGCTCCTCCATCTTAAAATGAATAATAAGCCCATCCCAGACCGCTTTACTGCGCTTTCACTTCAGCAGATTGTTTTATCTGCCTATTATTTTGTGCTCGAGTCCTGGCTGATGCCCAACTGAGCAGCCAGAGCGGCTGTCAGTTTGTTATTTAAGGAGCCATTCAGTGACTGCAGCTCTGTATTGAAGAAGCTCAGGAGAGCAGGACATGACGTGTTGATTGAATTTCCAGTTTTTAAGGAAATAATTATCTTGATTTGGAATGCATCTGTAGCAGCCTATACTGGCCGAAAAATATCAAATCACAGTGAAAGATCTTTTAAGGGGGATGAAGAGGGTCTAATAATATACAGATGATTAAAAAAAACTGAGCTGGAATGTTTTCCCAAGTATTCTTTTTTTCAGTTGGTGGAGATTTCATCATTATTGTTTCATCATCAACTAAAACTTTACAGTTGCTACAAGTTGCAGTGTATCGACAGTGGGGCAGTACGGGCAATCGTTTTGTTCAAATTCAAAAAAAGCACATGATGGTCTATTTAAAGATTTATTTTTGGGCTTTTTGTGCCTTTAATGGGGAGATAGGACAGTGGATAGACTCGGAAATCAGGGAGAGAGAGTGGGGAATGACATGCGGGAAAGGAGCCACAGGTTGGATTCGAACCTGGGCCGCCCGTTTGGAGGACTACAGCCTCCATACATGGGGCGCGCGCACTAACCTTTGTAAAAATGTCGTAACATATCTAGCCCTGAAAAAAAGGTCAGAGAGAACATTTTCAAATGCTTCATTGTATGAGCTTGTCACATACGTTACCTGTTTTCTCCTGGTAGGAAGGAGGTAATGGGCAGGTTGTTCTCCTGGCAGGCCTGCCCAGGGTGCCAGTTGGCCTTGCAGGCCGAGCAGAACTCCAGGGCGCAGACAGCACACTGGACCAGCTGGGGCATCGCTGGGGAATCTGCCTCCTTTAGTTGGCACACAGCCTGGCAGGTCGAGGAAGGGCACCACGTCCGGCATGGGTCCAGCAGCACCTCTGATGGAACAAAACAGGTGCCAGTGTCATGGACAGCAGCTTTTTTTTTAAAGCATCAGAAAATCCAAGTCCCAAAGGAAAAACTGGAAGAAGGAACCCGTGAAATGTGTGTGGATGCCCAGCAGTGAACAGCTAAAGAAAATACAAAACCTCTCTCCACACAACGGGATAAGGTAAGTGTAAAAGACTTTCCAGAGGGTGGGTTTAAATGAAAATGTGTCCGTTGCAGGGTGTGATTTCAAACTCTCCAAGGTTAGTTTAAAAAAAATACAATGTTGTATTCCATTTTTCTGGCCTTGCAGGGTGCAGTGAGAGAATTCACACAAACTGCTTATGCTGGAAAATGTGTCATATCTTCTTCTTTCTGCATTAGTTAGTGACTAACAAACTTTCACAGCTTCTCCCAATTCTGCTGAACATTTGTAACTTGTCTCTTACTTTGTAGGTTGGAAAGAGATACTATTTTTGTGTGTTTGGCCAGTTTGTTCAGTTCATAGCGTGACACACTTGCCCTTGTATCCTCTACTTCCGTCCTCTTGCATTGCGAGCCAAGAACTCGGTGCACACATTCCATTGGACTTTTGGCTCGGCCTGAGAAATATGGAACGGTTACAGCGCCTGTTCTGCCTGACTGGAGCGGGACATTGATGAGACGGCTCAGTGCCCTTATCCAGGCGCCATCAACAACTCTTTCTGAGTCATTCCCAGGATTTGTATACATTTGCAGGACCTCCCTGTGTGTTGCCATACATGTGTTCGTCTTTGCGTTTATTTGTGAGAGTCATTTGCATGCTCTGAGTACAATTTGTGCCTGTGTGTAGGTGGAGAAACCTGCAGGGCGAGTACCATCAGCGAGTCATAGCCCAGCTTCGTCATGGTGTTCTCTGCTAGCGAGGGAACTCTAGTGTTACTGATTAGCATGTCTGCACTGACAGCACGCAGCACAGCGACACAGGCCTGCCATTATCTTTGCAGCAAGGCTTTTTAGCAGTGGGCTAATGTTTATTGTACAAACCGCAGACACTGAACACACAGCTGCACACCACAGCACAGATGAAAAGGATTTGACTAAAACATGCTATGCTAAGTGACCTGCCTCCGTCAGAGTCACTCAGACACTTTATGAGTCTAGAGCCGAACCAATCCTATTAGAATCTCTTTAAACAAAGTCTGGGAGGCTTCCCCTTCCATGCATATTTGATAGGAAATGGTCTTACACGGCGATGACGCTGACAGGCGTGAGTCAGAATTCTACAGTGCAAATCAGACTAATATAAGGCCTGACTACCTGTCACAAGAATATCTCCTGCTTGCATGATATTTCGGAGTAAGGCAGTATTAAATCCAGAATGTTTGCTATCAGAAGCCTAAAGATTCAAACTAATTTCTGAATTAGTTGACTGCTGTTTAGTGTCAACACACGTCAGAGTTAAAAGGGCTCAATTTACTCAGCAAACAATCGTCGCTCAAGCCTATTCAATTATCTTTCCGCGGCTGCCTTGTAGCATCTTTCTGCAGCAAAAGTCCACAAGGGATGAATGAGTGACTCCAGACGGAGCCGGCAGCACTTAGGCAACACTTAAAAGCCGGGGTTGTCATCATGCTTTTGTGTGTCACAGTGAACTACAGTATCCCTGGAGGACAGGACGGCTCACGTGTGTCTGCGACATACAGCCCACACGCTGAGAAACTGTGGAGGTGACACTGACGTACTGCGTTGACTCACCCCTTTCAAACTGAAGCTTCTTGTATCTCTGCATCATCTCCGTGGCCACCATGCACTCAATCTACAGGGAGAGAAGAGAGGAGAGGAGAGAGGGAGCTCAGCAGGTAAGTTTGCATATTTATGGGCAGAAGCTGCAAGGAGAAATTACACACTCAATTCTCAATGTCAAATTCAAATTTCAACAAGATCAAAATTACAATTTGCATACTAATATGGCATTTCATGCTATTCTAAGAATAAAAAGAAAATATAGTCAGGGTGCGTACCCGTGCCCACTAAAGTTTCAATGTTCTCATTTATTGGGTGATGAAATGAGCATTCAGCCTTTGTGAAAGAGCAGTCAATTACAAGGTGCAGGCATAGCTGTCACAGCAGACAGGGATGAGGCATGCTCTGCCTGACTGACAGGAGTAACCATGGTTTCATTAAGGACCAGTGACACTGATTGATTAGAAACATGCGGCTGTGCTTTGCTGTTCTGAGCCATGCTGTGTTATGTTGTGCCGACGGGCCTGTGAGACCAAGTGAGACAGTGAGGGAGTCCATCAAACAAACTGCCCGTGGGACGAGGAGCGCTTCGCCCGCAGATTGACCTCTGGAAGCCAGGCTCATTATAATGAAGTAAACACTACCTATGGCAGGTGGAGCGCAGTGGTCATCTTGAATGAAGCCTGAGCTTTGAGGAGGCGTACAGGGGTTAAACTAACCGCACATGTGTTGGATCTTTTTTTATGTGCTAATTAAAAAAAGTGTAAGGTTCATGACAGGGAAAACTGACTTGTAGAGTCACTGATTGATTGATTTATTTTTTTAATGTCAAGCACATGAATTCTTAGCTCTACACATTACTTGATCAGGGGTGTGATTCACAGAACGGTGAACGCATTCATTTGAATACATTTACAAACATGGACTTGCTTATGATGAGAGAGCTTTAAGTAGTTTAAACGACATAAAAAGATGTGAAAATGGTTGTGATAACGTAGCGAAACTAAGAGAGATCTGAATAACTTCAGCAGCAACCAGCTGCACAAAAAAACTGAAAACAGCATTAGAAGGTTCATATTAAACACAAGATGAAGCACCACAATCAATGCATGTCATGAAGAAAGCAACGTTCTCTCTCTCTATGCAGAGCAGGGCGCTACTCGCAATATGAACTCAAGCAGGTGCAGATTATTCACAAGTTTATCGATCTGAGATGGCGAGTGTACTGTGATAGAGGAGACTGATGCAAGGCGGCTTGTAAGTATACTTAGGCTATAATAAATGTGCCCTAAGGACTCGCACGGGCAAAGACACATTCCTGTTGAACGCACACAGAACAGTTGGTTGAATACATTCCAATTAAAATTCTGTAAATATATTAATTAATCCATTAACAAAAAGACCTATGTTTCTGAAATGTGCTGCATTGATCAAGTCCGAGAGCAATACTGGAGATTGTAAGAAACATTCATGAGCCACAGGAGAGTTCAGGGATGTCACTACAGAAAGGAAAAAAAGTAATGTGTGCATTTAAATCGGACTTTGACTTTTTATCAATACCTCATTTTCCTGCAGGTGTCCTCTCTTGGGACAGGCAGAGTCTGGACAGCTAATTGCAGTTTCAAGGCCTTCTTTGATCAGGAGTTCCACATACTGCTTCAGGCACTGAGAACACACACACACACACACACACACACACGGTCAGATAAATATCCAAGTCAGAACAGTTGGTAAACAAAAACTGGCCTCACAGTATTTTGACCTCTGTCTGTGAAAAAAAGAGGCAGATGTATGTGGTGTTTATGTTACTGTATGTGGTGAAAGTATGTGATGAAAATGTTTAAAATTCAAAGCTGCAATTTTTAATTTGTGTACAGTGCAGTAAGAAATGATAAAGAATAATGCAGAGGTATAGAATCAAAACCCAGAGCAGAGCATCTTTAAGCTCATTGTCTTTCGTTTTTTTATTATTTTTTATTTTACATACTTTCCCACTGGAGAATTCAGGTTTTACACTCTGTTTCCAGAGACATGCTACTCACACACATAGGCCCGAACTACACACATGCCCAAACATGTGAACATGCATTTATGAAGAGATGTCAGAGTGTTAGGGTTAGGGTTTTGGTGCCTTGCTCAAGAGCACCTCAGCAGTCACTCGGGAAGTGACCAGGCACCTCTCCAGTAACCAGACCCACTTTCATAATTTGGTCCGCACCGGGACTTGAACCAGAAACCCTGTGGTTCTCAACCCAAGTCCCTACAGACTGAGCTACTGCCTCAGCTTCACTTTTTCCACTTTAGTTTCAGGCTTCACTTTTAGTTTCCTTTACCATAACATGCTGCTGTTTCCAGCCAAACACAACAACTCAGTGTGCTATGTGTAGCACATGGCTAACAGGCTAAATAAGCAACTAGGTGGTGAAGGAAACAGCGCTAAATAACAGTCTCATCCCCAAGAATTGCCTTCTAGTTCCACCTAATTATGCTACAATAAATTCAGGCTGTCCCGCTGCCCTCAGACAGGACAAAGAAAACTTTTAATTGCTGCTCTGCTTAAAGCTTTAACTGAGCAATTGAAGCTTTTAGCGCTGCTCTGGAAGTCAGTGAGACGCCTTTGGTTGTTCTGTTACATTTTTCAAAACACAAGTCCGGACTGTTCTTTTACAAAGCTGGAAAAAAACATTGAAAAAGATTGAGTTTTCAGTAAATAAGATTTTCTGTTTATACTGGCATGCCCATTTAATCAGCCTCAGTTCTCTAGAAACAGACGTATCTCCTCTCGTTATTTAGCTTTCTGTTTTTTAAACTATACAAATGCTTAGTTTTCTAAATATATCTACACTTAATGGTTCAGTGAAAAGTAGCTTAAGCGGGTTGTCAGTCAGTACTTGTGTTCTAGTTTGACCTCTGTTGTATAAATTGTATTAACCGAGTTTGATCATTACCGCCACCTCCCACACTGTGTTCTAAGAATAATCTTCTATTTTTAGTGCTCATTCTCGGTCACTGTTTCTCCATCTCTGGACCGGTCTAGTTCCAGTGATTGGTAATGGGTGCGGCAATCATTATTGATTTTATTACAGCGACACAGAACTATGATGTGGATTTCTTTCATACTGTATAAACTTGATTTCTGCATCTTTTTAAGGGGGGGGGGGGGCTTATTGAAGACATCAGTTTGTTTTTAGCTTCCTGAAAATGGTTTTGGACATCATGTTTTGTTTCATTGATTTTTTTTCCTTCTCACCAGTGTACAGAAGACACATTGGCACTGTGTGATGGTGGTCATCTGCTCCAGAGGGAACTCTCCAAGGCACAGCTTACACGAGACCAGGGGATCCACGGCCAGCTCCCAGGTGGGACGGTACCGTGCTGTGGTCATCTTCACCGCCACAGAGCTGCAACACAGAAGAGACGGAAGGACGGGTATGGTTAATGAGGCAAAATACATTGTGAGTAAGGACAATCTGAGAAACAAGACTATATTTGGCTCACTTTAATTTGTTTCCATCTACATATGAAATCCAAAATGTGTTCAGAGGATGCACACTCGCAAACAGGCCTGCTGTATGCAGAACTGCATCTACAAAAACAAGGTGGCTACCTAGTCAGCTGTGTCTACTTTTATTCCAGGCCTCATGCTTAGAAAAAAAAGGAAATACATTAAAAAAGCTCCTGAAACTCCAGCTATCTCAGCTTCTAGTGAAATTTTCACTTAAGTTAGAAATGACTGCTCCTTTTTCCTCCACCCCGCGTCATCGCTTCTCCTTTGTGAGAGTCGGAGGGTTATTTTAGGCCGCCTCGTCTTCGCTCTCTCCTTCACTCGGTAGCCGAGAGCGAAGAGAGCACTCGGCTGTTTACAGGAAGTGGTCCTGTGCACACAACGTCAACACTGTCAAACTCCCCTGTGCTGCTTAGCAACCAGGCTGAGGGAGGATGTTTGGAAGTGGAGGGGGCATAGATAGATGGAGGAAGGATAGAGATAGTGGCTTGGTTTCACTGAGGCTTGCTCGGTACAGTCTGCCTCGGTGTGCAGCATTAGACAAGACAAGGAGGGCGGGTGGGAGGAGAGAAGTTGAAAAGTTCACATGATCGCTCCGTGGACTCTTCTGCTGTCTGCATGTGCTACTCCGCGAGGGGAGCGCAGAGGAATAAGAAACAGTGCAATCTTGTTGAACAGAGATATGATACACTTCTCTCAAAAACTAATTTAATGATAAGGGATGAGGAAGAGGGCACAGTGTTGCATTCCCCTAAGGATCAACTTGATAAGGGTGCAAGGTGAAGGCAAGTCACAGATGATACTTGCATGAGGAATATTATTAACTAATAAACAGCCCAGGCTTTCATTTACTGCAGTTTATGATGACGACGTCCTGTTTTTATTTGGAAAAAGGCATCTATATAAGAAGGACCAAACATATTTTTATCATCAATGATAAGATTGTATTTTTCTACCAGTATACATAATTAGGCTACAGATTAAGAGAATAAATTACTAATCACTTATTTGATCTTAATTTTACGAGAATGCACGGCCAGGACGACCTGCTGCACTGAGCGAGAGAGAGAGAGAGAGAGAGAGAGAGAGAGAGAGAGAGAGAGCCAGAGCACAGGTTCTGTTGTTAAAGGCAGATTCAAATTTAGTATGAAAGACAAAAAAACCCTGCTTATTATTGATATTTCAACCTCTTTTACATCTATAAAGCCCACTCAAGCAGCAGTCCACATCTGTACTTGATATCCTGGTCATCATGCAGGATACTGAGAGGTCTGTGCTTGCATTTTGTGCTTGCACAGGCTTATATTAAGCTCCAGCTAATCTTTTATCTTCTTCCTGTTAGCATTTTGACCTTTAGCCTCTTTCTCAAACAGTTAACTTAAAGTTAAGCTTTATTTTTTCTTGCTGCTGCTCCTCCTTATTTTTTACTCAGCAAATTTGACAAATGACAGAATCCAGGTGCTACTTCATCAGTAACTGTGACGTATAGTCACAGTTCAACCCAGATTGACACTAAATATAAACCAAGTAATTATTTATCAAACATGCAGCCCAACCCCGGGTTTATTTTGGGTAGGCAGGCATTTGAGGTTTTACGGTTTCCTCATAAGAACTAGGAAGTCATACCTTTGGTTGACTTTTCATTGCATATCTCTTTATTCCTCTGACCCCACTAAGCACTGAAAACTATGGAGTGAGGAGGACATGTCAGTTCTGTTAATGCTGCTCAGTGGTGCAGGGAGAGAAGAAAGAGGCTCCCATATCGGAGACTTCAGTGAGGATATACGAGAGCATCCTCACTGGAAGTGTGTCTTTTATTAGAGGACACTCAAAGTCATTGGAATTATTGACTGATTGAAACAGGAGCTGTTACAAATGAGGTGTATGACTATAATTCACTCGAGGCAGACAGAAGATAGATGCAGGAATGTTGGTGCCAGAAGATTTCTTTTTTTAATTCCTCCTTAAAAAAAACTTTGTTGGATGTGTTTTAAGTGAGGGATTCAGAAGGCAGATGGCATCTTTAAAAAAAATGTGTTTTTGCATGCATCCAAGGCAAGCACAGTTAAAGTGATTAGTAGAGTCCATTTTTTTTCCTGATGGTGATTTTATTTGAGAAATCTTTAGTTGGTCTCATTTCAGCAGTGAAAATGGATATGGTGTAGTTTCCTGTTTAGACTCACAGAGTTATCGATGATGCTAGGTAGAAACATCATTATTTAGTTTGATTTCTATATTATGCAATATATAATGCACAAAATTACATCATCTTTGTTGGCCAAAAAGGAGGTGTAATAAAAGATATAGGCCCTTTGTTTCTCTTGACAATGTTTGAGCAGAAAAATATATTTTTGATTGAATCCAGTTGTCTCAATTCCTCCTCCTCTTCATCTCCTCGTGGTGTCTTAAGTAGGAGGACAGATAAAAAATTAGAGTGAGAAAATCCGAGGGCAGAAATAAGAAAAAATGGGATGCACCTCATGTCTGACTCACTGAAATCAGCTGGCACTCATCCATCCATCTATCCATCCACCATCCATCACACTGAGCGGTGAGGAGGATCTATTATTCAGGTGCTAAACTCGTATAAAACTGCTTAAAACAGCAATTTGTTATCAGGATGGAGCTGCAGTCTTACAAACATGGCCCTCAGGGGGCTTGAGTGGGAAGGCGTGTGCTTTGGTGGTCCAAAATAATACACCAAAGAGGAATTCAGCGCTGATGTGATTAAATCAAAGTGGAAGCAGAGCTGCACAGGTGAGCCCTAGAGGCAAAAGTTCATCTTACACGGGCATCATTCTTAAAAATGTTTTAATACGTTCTTGCCAAGTTTAGCAGGATATGTGCTTGAGACCAAAAGATGGAGAACGGGGAAAGTCTCTTCACAGAACCACCAACAACTTGACTGACAGCAGGTACAAAGAGGCCTGAAATTCTTTAACCGTTGTTAAAAGTTACTGAACTCCAGCAGTCCTTGTGATGTAACAGTATATCATGGTCAGTGTTTCCCCTACCATTATATTAGGGGGGCGGGCCGAAGGTCAAGTAAAAAAAAAAAAAAAAAGATTATTATTATTATTTTTTTTTAAAGATTTCTTTTTGGGCTTTTTGTGCCTTAATTGTAGAGATAGGATAGTGGATAGAGTCCGTAATCAGGGAAAGAAGTCATTTAAGGATACCTTTTACGATAGAAAAGGACATCTGTCATTAAAAGTAACCCATGAACACCAAGATTCCTTCAAGTGTTTGTGTCGGCAAGTCGGCGTGTCCCCCCCCACCAACGCTGTAAACCTAGGGGAAACACTGATGGTCTTATAATATATTAATTATTACAGAACTGCTTTGACATTATAATGGGACATGAAACTCACAGCGAGAACTGAGCCACTCACAAACCATAAAACTATGGTGGCAGTCATTTTTGTAATTAAAAAAAAAAAAAAAATCACAGTAGTATCAGCAAAATACTGATGGAATCAGATTCTGTATCAGGACTTAAAATGAGTATCCGATCACCAAGAGTGGACAATGTAGAAAGAAGGACTTTCTTTTCCAAATGAATCTATTTCTCCCTCCCACACTTGATGTCGGCTGTGTAAATGCTGACAGACTGGGTCGATGGGGACAAATGAAATTGTTTAGTAAGGCTGGCCTGAAGAGGACAAGTGAGGGAGGTAGGGAGACCGAGCGACAAAGGGAAAACGAGTTTCCAAGAGAAAAAGGTGGTGCAGTGGCATCGCTCTGCTGCATTATTAACTAGACGGTCCATTATCACTGAGAAACACATGAACACACGCAGTATATTCCAAGCAGTGCATGTGAGCCTCTCTTTCAAATATAGCCTTCCAGAACAGTATACATCAGTAAAGGTCAGGTCTGAGAGCTGGAAATCGATGAAGTCAGGAGTTCAACATCCATCCTGAGCTGTGGTTACCATGTGTCAGTCATTAGTCAGAGGGAGTCTCCATCACTTAGATCATCTAGATACAGCAGCGCTCGTGATCTTATGAATCCACATCCAAAAGACGAACGGGCACACACACACACACACACACACACACACACACACACACACACACACACACACACACACACACACACACACACACACACACACACACACACACACACACACACACACACACACACACACACACACACACACACACACACACACACACACACACACACACACACACACACACACACACACACAGGCGCACATAACAATCCATTGCGTAAGAGCCGTGGAAGTGGTCATGGAGGAGCAATAGAGGAGAGCTCCTCAGGGGAGACGAAGGCAAATGGGTTTACTTTTCTGCAGTATACATTAAACCATCCATTAAAGCTGGTTCCAATATATGGTACATGTTGTGTAAAATAAAAGGTAACTTTAGAGTCTACAGAAAATGGCTAGCTGTAGCCCTAAACACTTATTCTAATCTAAAAAAACAAATTACTGAATGTCCTCACTCCAGTCAAATGCTACTTACAATGCCACACATTCACACACTGTACATTAGCATAACTCATTATATTGGGGGGATGACTGTATCCTGTGTCCTTCTTGTTATAGTAGCTCTGATTAAATTCATGGATAACATGCTGCTTTAAGAGACGTCTCATATCGCACTGAGCGGTGCTGAAACTTGTCCATGCGTACCTTTGCATGAACATATTGCATAACACACTTATGTTCAATTCTAGGTGATGCATGTATAAACCAGCAACAGTCAATCCCTGATTAGCTACAGTACAGAGGATTATGATTATTTAGAATCATAATCAGCTTTATTAGCGAGCTCATGCTGTATAAACGTACAACGAATTTTACTCCCCTTACTCTTACTGTACCACAAGACCGTGAGTTCATTTAAGGAGGCATTTTATTTAATA